TGGCAATCACAGGAATAATTATAGGAGTCATTTCTCACCTTTTGCTGTGGGAGACTAGAGTGTCACACTCAGGTCTTCATGCTTATGCAGCCAGCTCCTTTATCCACTGAGCCATCTTGTTGGCCTGGTAAAACGTTTTAAGTTTGATTGCATTTCATCCTCTTTCCAGTAATTTCTATAATATCAGGTGAAAGTAGCTCAGGTCTTGAAAAAGCACTAATTTGCACAGCATGTCTTAAGACTGGTTAAAAGCAAGACAATTAAAAACAGTTTTCTGGGTATCCAGATAATTATCTAGAGTCTGTTTATTACAGTAGTGTACTTTGCAAGCCATAATTACCTTCTAAGTTTCAGGAATCTACTGACAGAGTTAAGTTAGTATCTCTTATTATAGATCACTCAGTTCTCCTGGTTTCCACTATATGCTTAATTTCCATGCTTATATCTTGCATGAGAAAAAATATTCCCAATATTAATGTATTTCATTTATCCTTGCTCTTTGTCATTTATGTAAAATGGAATAAAATCTATAAACCTTTTGGTCTAGGTTCACAGTACCCAAAGGCTTCCTGTTTCTTAGTAACCAATGGTGCAACCAGTGATCGGGAAAAAGTAAAGTACTTTTGAAAATTCAGACTCTTAGAAAAGTTTGGAAAAATTGCCGTAATATAAAAACTTCATTAACTATAGCTATATTATTTGCCAATTAATGTATTCTCCAATATTCTGGTTATATTGTTCTCAATGATAGATATTGTTGCTGTAATCTACCTATGTAACCAGAAAGAACAGAGTCTTAATCATGAACACCTTCCATGTAAATTCTGTACTGTAGTAATGTAACAAATGTTTACTAGTTGACAAATAATTATGAAAAATATAAGAAAATAATTCCTTCATATTAATTAAGTTTAAGATTATATGCATTAATAAAAAAGCTAGACATGACATTTTTCCATTAAATGATATTTTAAATACAATATTTCTTTAAATTTAATTTATTTTTTATTTATATGAGTGTTCAGCTGCACATATTAAGTGCACCACATTTATACAATATCTATAGAGTCCAGAAGTGGGTGTCAGATCCCCTGGAACTGAATTAAGACACTGTTGTTAGCTGTCACAAAAGTGCTGGGAACTGAACCTGGATCTTCTGCAAGTGTTCTTAACTGCTAAGCCATTGCTCTAGCACCTTAAGTGATCATTTTTATTACCCCTGTATTGGTAAATAATCAAAAGAACAAAGATAGATACAGTTCATTTTAGTAATTATACCAAACAATATTTATACTCATGAATTGTGAGGCATATATTTGTATCTTATTGTTTATGGTAAAAAAAAGTATATTTTCTCAATATATGATTCTGAGCATTGTAAATTGCATCAGGGTGCCAAAAGGAATTATTAAAAACTATATTTATATTGTTGAACTGAATAAATTCTTACAGAAGATTCGCATCCGCTGAAGGGTTAGTATAAACATAAATAAAAATATATAGTCATTTATAAAAGTACATGAAATTATTTTTGTAAATAGCTGCTATTTAAACAAATATAAGGGACTCAAGGTATTTGATTTGTAATTTTATATTTTAAATACTGAAGAATTAATTTATGATTATTTAAATCCTTAATGCAAAAAGCTGCCATTTGTGTATTCACTTTCTGGCTTTATTTTAAGAATAATCTCAAGGAATGTCTTCTCCACATTTTATCAATCTTTAGAATGTTTATAAACCCAGTAACAGTTTTAAAAATACTCATGTTTTTCTAAAACATTTTCATGAAGTGCCATTTCAAGATCTGTCAGTATTGGCTAATAAAATGATATTAAATTGTATTTGCATATATATGGACAAATATACAAGTAAACATGCAATACTTCTTTACTTTTATACATATTTGTTGACTATGATGATGTAGATGCACATCTTTGTTAAAATGCTTAAAATGAAACATAGAAGTGCTCTTTTCAGGGCAATATTTTCTTTAATACATGAGAGCTAAGAAACTCCTTTTTAAAAAATTATTACATATCATTTTTCCTTCTAATACAACAAACCCCTTTTGTTGTTGTTGTTCATTTCTATTAGGTAGGTGTTTCTTTAAGTTATACCTTGACATGGGACTTTAATGTTTGTGTGGATGTGTTTGCTTTATGAAGCTGAAAGATTTGAAATAATAGAAGACAAATGGCTGAAATGAAGTTTAAGTGAATGTAGAAGCAGGGATGTGTGGAAGGATGCTGGAGAAATGGTTAGATCAGGATATTTAAACACACATCAAACCAAACAACAAAAAGGGCCAAAATGCCCTACCACAAATTTTCCAAATTAATGACATGGAAAAGGGTCTAGTTATGTTTTCATTGTTTGTAATCTTTTATTTCTTTATTTTGTGTGTATGCGTGTGTTGCCTGCATGTAGGTAAGTGTGCCCGTGTCATGCAATGCCCGCGGAGGACATAAGAGGCTGTTGGATCCCTTTGAACTGGAGTTACAGACAGTTGTTAGCTGTCATGTGGGTGCTGGGATTCAAACCCGGGTATTCTGTAAGAACAACCAGTGTTCTTAACTGCTGAGCCATCTCTCCAGCCCCTGTTTGTAATTTTTTTTAATGAAGGGACAAACCATGTTGCAATACAGTCCCCTAGAATATCTTTACAATTACCTCCCATTCTCTCATAGGAATAATTCAATATTTCAAATGTAAGTGGAATTCAATGCAAAAGTAATATCTAGATAATTTCCCTAAGCATCCACTATCCTTACTTGCTTTCAAATTATTTGCTAGTTTTAAATATCTCTTCCTCTGCAATAAATATGGAAAATAAAAAGTTCAAGTTGGCAGGTGGTCAGTTTAAAGTCACACAATCTGCTACGTCTGGTCAAACATATCAATGTTCATATATTATATTTAAGTATTTTTATGTTACAGCATGCCTTATGTTCAAATGCCTTCAATGTCTAAACCACCCTACACAGCCTGGATTAAACTGCTATTCCCAGGTAAAGACAAACTTTATTTTAAAACTTGTGCATTATCCCAACAGTGCCCAAACTATCAAATCTATCAGCAAAGTTTTGAATCCACTTTAATATTCTTTACTATTTTTTGTGACTCTTAAGGGCATGATATTTTGGTCCTTCAGCTAGTTTTGTTCTATTAAAAGTAATTTAGCACTTTCTTAATTCCAAGAATTTAAAATGTACAATTTTGCTCAGAGAGTGTTCTTTTGTTTGTTTGTTTGTTTGTTTGTTTTGTTTTAAAAGAAGGTTATTTAATGGGGAAGAAGCAAGGTAATATTGGGTGGTGGGATTTTTATAAAATTTTTAACCTTTAAAAAAGATCCCCATTTCATTATTAAAATACACAGTTTCATAGAGAAAAATTCATTTTCAATGCAATTGACATTAAGATGTTTGCACATGCGTTTCAGAGAGTGTTTTTAATGAAATGTTTTTATATAGTTATTGAGCCTTTCTGTTCAGCCTATCAGCATTTCCAGAATGATCAAGCCCCATCAATTTGATATAACGAAGATAAAATAAACATAGACATCCCCAATTCCTTCTCTTCTTTGGCAAACAGAGAATACCACCACCATTTACTCAGTCAGTGATTCTACAAACCCGGATGAAGTGGACAGGGAACCAGTGAACTATGGAAAGGGTAAAAGTTGTAAATCCAGAAGCAATAGAACAAACCATAGCCAATTGATTGAGAACTGTACCTTTATTACATTCATAACTGATGCTTCCAAATGGTATTGACATTGAAAGTCCAAAACAAAATGGCCAGTGTAGGAAATGGAACAGGAAAGATATACTTTCCATTCCTTCATTAGTAATCATCCACACTGTCACTACTTTATGTACATACAAAGTGAACCCTGGCAGTATGGGCAAAGGAAAGAAGCCTCTCATGGGAACTGGACATGAGGGTTACGATAATGCTGACTGTTAGTAAAGCTGGTTTTTATTTTATGGCATTTAATCTAAGACTGTTTATTCCACTGTACAGTATTCCTTAAACTATAGATTCGATGTATTTAATATTAGATTTATATATTAATTTAAGAGATGCATATACTGATCTTTGACTTGTAATAATTTACAGCCCTTTTTATTTAAGTGACATCTGCATATCAATAAATGTTCATAAGAATTATATTTAATATGTGGAAAACAATTTCATAAGTAAAATATGCAGCCAATAACAAACAATAATAATATAAAGTAGTACCATAAAACTTTCTCAGTATCAAGTACTTATCTATATGTTTAACTTACATCTGTTGCATTTTACACAAGTTCTAATACATTGTCTATATATTAATCCTACTCTATTCTCTCTCTAGCCTCATCTATTTGTTTCTACATATTGATGACTTGGCCTTTTGAGTTTTTAGCAAGTCAGAAGTATTACTTGTTTAAAACAAATCCATTTTCCATGTGTAATTATTTAAAACACTACATTGAGCATTTTCATTTTATGAAGTATAAAATATTTTCTTTTATGAGGTTATTTCCCTAAGACAGTTAATGATTAAATACAAAGAAACAAATATGTTTATATAAGCTTGCATACATTATGCAGTTCACTCCATTCCTGATTGGAATGCTGGCCATTTACAGCATAAAGGAAAAAGATAAGGAAATAGAAGACCATCTTCAGTTATTCATGGTTTCAACCTCTGATCTCGTTTCATAGTAATAAGTGCTTGTTCTGGGTGAAAGAACTTCCTAGATATTGTACCTGCCTTGGAATGAAAGTTTGAAGTTAGGAATCTTCAGAGGAAGTCTCCATCAATCATTGGTCAACAATGGACTTTGGGAACAATGACTTCCTGGCCTCTTTCCTATCCTGTGCTTTACCAAAATATTTTAAGGAGAATTTCTTCATGCTTCCTTTTTTGGGCTATCTTAAATATTTCCAAAAGTTAGAATTTCATCATAATTTTGTGTCATACAGATAAACATAAACATATGCTAATTAAAAATGTGGAACACTTCATGAATTTTTGTCATCCTTGCACAGGATCATGCTAATTTTCTCTGTATTATTGCAACTTTAGTATATGTGCTGCTGAAGAGAGCACTAATATAGTAATTTTATTATCAAATTTTGAGCCAATTTTTGTTTCAAGCAGAATTCTCTGGAATTTAAAATACTATTAAAATCCAGTGTGCCAGTTTCCATTCCCAAAACATGTGTGATTCTTCTGATGATTTGTGGTGGAAACCTGAGAACAGGTTCATTAGTTCTCTACTGAGCTTCATGTCTTAAGATGCGCAGTCTCTACCTCTTGATTTCCTCCTTCTCTGTTGACATCTTCTATTCTTTATTTGATGACATTAAGGGGATTTTTTGCAACAATCTTTCAGAAGCACTTTCACAACACTTCATTGCACAGTGTAGCTCACATTTTTACCCTCTTGACCCCAGAATACATTTATTTTATCTGAACCTGTAAAGTTAGATATCCTTCAAGCCATCGTCTCCTGTTGCCCTAGATGTTTATTTTCTATTTCACGTTATTTACACAACTGGCAATATTCTGTCTCATCTGGTACTTTCTTTTTTTACCTTCACTGCTTTCTAAATGTCAACAAACTGTCATATTTTGACTCCCCCATTTTACTCAGGGTTCAAACCAGAGCCTTTCACTGTAGCCATACTGCTTTAGTTAAACTTTGCCCTTGATATGCATTTGTATTAGTAAGACTGTACTTTGCTAAAACATAACACAATGCTGCTATCAGTCTGCTTCAATTTAATAGATGCAAATCTCAAACTCTGCACCCAATACTTATCTAAACATGGAATTATTCAAATGATTCTTTATAGGAATTAAACTTTTTTTATCTGATCCTCTGAGATGACATAGCCAACAGTCACAAATCTGCATACCATGTGCCATGTGTTGATTACTTACTAGTTACAGTAGTATTTTTTCCTCTGAAAAATATAAGTACAAAAGGTAGGTAAACAATGAGGTGGCTGTCATTTGGGGTTTATCATAGCTTAAATAATTAAGTTTTAGCAAACACTCAAAAAATCAATCTGGGTAAGCGTCACTTAAATTATTTAATTTATCAGAAAAAAATACACTAAGTTTTACCTCAAAATGTATTGCACAAGTCTTTAAAAAAAGGGGGGAAATCCTAAAAATGAACAAGACAAGCATTCTTTAAAAAAAGAAGAACAGAAAGAATAGAAGAAAGGGACATCAAATGATCTCGCAAATCAATCCAGATTATCCTAAGTATCTTTTAAACAACATTATGACTTCTCCAGAGAAAAACTGAAAAAGAAAAACAAAAGACAGAAAGAATAAAGAAAAAAACCTATCACCATTTTCCCACCAATAAAATCTATTTCAAAAGCAGTCTGCAGTAGATTTGTGTGCTGATGTAAGACTTTTGTTAGTCTTCACAGTACAGATGGACCCCCATGACAGCTTTGTTTTCATAGATGAGCAAATTTGGACAGTTCTCCAAGCAGTAATTTCCCAGCCTCTCTCTACCAATTTCTTCAAGATGAAGCTCAGAACTATGACATTAGCCGAGCATCTTCTCTTTCCAAAATCTACTGAGTCTGGTCATCAGAGAACTTCAGGACACTGGTTATAACTTTGCCATGGTCTTGGTCTCATGACCCATCATGTAAAAGCACTTTTTGCAAATATTCAAACTCCGTAGGTTCTCCCAAGAAGGAGACATTAGTATGTTACAAATTGCCACCTTTGTAAGGTGTCCCTACAGTTGTTGCTTATACATTTTTTTCATATTTTATCAAACGGTCTTCTAAATTGTTAATCTATTCTCTGACCTCTTGATCTTTCAACTTTGAATCACTGATTAGTCATCTGTGATTCACAGATGTAGCTGTGTCTCTGTAACTCCTAACTTGTTGTCATCAGACTCTCCTCCTGCTGTAGCTTGTGTTCATATTTCTGCTGCAGTTCTGGAAGCTGAACCTGCAGGTTATTTACTTATGTAGTCATTTCTTTGTCATGAGCATTAAGAAATTTTTCCTATCTTTTGGCTGTTCTTTTTAGATCATCATCTTTTGTAGCAATTTTTTAATGCAATTGATTTCTTTCTTCCTGACAGCTTTCCAAAAGTTCAGCTTCCACTTCCTGGGCTTTATTGATAGTTTCTTTTATGGTCCTTTCCAGCTAATTTTTTCTTAAAATAATACACTTTCTATTCCTCAATCAATACACACACACACACACACACACACACACAGTCTTTCCATATGAACAATTTCAGTCCAAAATCTTGCAAACAGATGTTTATTGAAAACCATAAGGAAGAGACTAGAGAGATGGCTTAGCAGTTAAGAGCATAGACTGCTCTTGCATATGCCCTGGGGTTCAATTTCAGCAGGTAAAAGCACGGGTTATTATTACATAAGATCCAAGTTCGATTACCAGTACCCATACATAGCAGCTAATAACCATCTGTGACCCCAGTTCCAGTGGATCCAATACCTTCTTCTGACATCTGTAGGATTGCATGACACTGGGGCACTTACATATGTGCAGGCAATATACACATACACATAAAATAAAAATAATATATAAAATATTTTTTTAAAAAAGAAAAAGAAAAACAGAGGCCTGGAGAGATAGTTCAGCAGTGAAGAGCACTGAGTGCTCTTGCAGAGGTCCTGGGTTCTATTCCTAACACCTACATGGCACTTAACAACTGTCTGAAACTCCATTTCCAGGGGATCTGATGCCTTCTTCTGACCTCTGTCAGCATTGCACTACATGGGTCCACTTACATGCATGCAGGCAATACTTTCATACACATAAAATAAAAATAAGAATAAATAAAATATTAAACAAAGAAAAACAGAAAGTAGAATTATATGATGGGTTCACACAACATTTGTAACAAGTTATAATTGTACATTATTAGTCTTAAGCTAAACTGGATTGTTTTAATGTTAAATAACATGCAAAGTATTGTTATCAGACACTGACCTCAGAAAAGAATTATGGACTGCAATAAAGGCAGTTCACATCACTGATTTTGACAGAATAACTAATATGACTTATGAGAAATCTTTAGCAATTTATTAGATCAGGCAAAGAAAACCAAGGACATTCTCTAAGTATAAAATGTGAAATTCTAAAAGATGAAAAAAATTTGCGTTCCTTAGCAATCTTTTTAAGTTCTAAAGGAGTGGTAACCTGTACAGAGATGAAAATAGAAACTTTCAATTGATATTTTTTCTGTTTCCAATTAAGATGTTGTGTACATATTTTATTAGCTATATGATCCAGAGTGAATGTAGGTACTGCTGCACAGAATTACTCTTTCACCAGCACTATCCACTTATAGGTATTAAGCCCAAGAGAGAAACACAAATACTACACCACTCTGGAAAAATGAACCTTTTAGAATCGTTGGTTTTATTTTGTGTCAACTCATATACTTGGTATTATCTAAAGAAAACAGATGAAGAGCTTATTTCTATTCCTAAAGGAGACTGTGGCCACTCCTTAAAAGTTTTCCCAGACGCTTATCATGGGTAAGGAGATGATTGGTCTCTTAACAGAATAAATACAACAGCAAAAGACAAAAATATAGAATATATTTAAATATCTAATTAATTTGTTAATTTGCAAGATTCTATGGTATTATCAATTATAGACTTTAATATGCACAGTCAATCTCAGGAAGAAACTATTTATATCCATATTTTCACTAGAACTGTCAGGAAAGAAATGTCAGGACTCAGAGCTCATCTTTTTCTTGGTTAAGACAAGAGAAAATATTCTATTAAAAACATGGCTTTCTCCAAAAATGACATTGAATGGCAAATACACATGCCTTCCTTTACAAAAGAGTGATTATAACATTTAATGGTACTTTTATTCTTTACAAAACAAATATAATTGCTTTATGAAATGTTCTCCTACATCTGCATAGCTTTTTAAATAAAAAATTATTACATGTAGTTATTTATGTGTGTGTGTGCATGTGTGTGTGTGTGTGCGTGTGTGCTCACATGCATGCATCTGCCCAAATTCCTTAGAACACATGTGGAGTTTGGAGGACAACTAGTGGGACTTAATTTCTTTTTTCCTGCATCAGGGGGGCTCTGGTGATTGAACTGAAGTTGTCAGGCTTGGCAGCAAGAACCTTGTCTTCTTGAGTCATGTAGCCAACTTCTGTTTACACATTTTTAAAGAAAAATTATAGCTATAACTCAGTATAACCAAAATGTCGATATAATTACTCATTGTATTCCTTCTGCTGTATCTTTTAACACCCATTCAAAAATCAGGTTATTATTGACTATATAAGTAACCCATGGAAAGAGGTCCTACGACATACTAGGCTTAGGTTTTTTATTGGGCTTTTTAAATTTCATACATTTCCCACTCAAATCCAGACCCTCCTCTCCTCCATCCATGCCTCCCTCTATCCCCCCACCAAACCGTATACACTCTGCCATACATGCTGCGTCCTGTTCATTCAGGTGTTTGTACCCAAATGTCCTTCGATGTAAATGTGTCCACTGGAGTCTAGTCAGCCCATCCAGTGGTCACATATAAGTCATACCCTCCCTCATCCAGCAACAATCAGTCTCGAATAGTTCTCAATTTACTGCTGACCCACCATCTATTCACTTCCACTTTGGGCCCTTGTTTAATTGAGCTGACATGGGTCCTGTGCTCGATGCTACGGCTATCACAGGTTCAAATGAGCATGTCTCTAGTGACCTGGAAGACTACACCTCCCTCTGTTCATGAACCAGCCTGGCTCTACAATCTTTTTGCCTCCTCTTCTGCAATAGTCCCTGAGGTGTGGGTGGGTGAGGTTCCATATAGGAGTCCCATCCTACACTCTACAGCCTGTTCTCTAAAACTTGGCCAGTTGTGGCCTTCTGTTTGTATCACACTGTGATGTACAGGGAAGCCTCACTAGTGAGAGCTGAGGGGTGCATTAGACCTCTCTCTACCCCTTATCTGTTATGTTCTAAGAGTGTTAGCCGTAGAGATTTGGTTGTAGATCTGTCACCCAGTACTGGGCATTTCTCCCAGGTGTATGTTCTCTGTGCCTGAGCAGATATGCA